AGTGAGATCTTAAATACACACACACGCACACAGTAACCTTATACCTTTGGGACATTTTCCACTTATAAAATCTGAGGCTTGGTATTAAAAAAAAGTTTCTAACCCACTAAACCTCAAAATACTTGCCTGTCCATGTAAGTGTATAGAAATTAAAACACCTCTGGCCTTTTTGGGGATTCTGACCTGGAAATGGCCATGTTCCCGGTGAGTGTCTTCACGTGTATTTAGTCACGGTCTCCCCTTTTTTCCTGTCTGTCAGCTGCCCATTGAGGATAAAATCAGGATCATTGCACAGAAGATCTATGGGGCAGATGACATTGAATTGCTCCCTGAAGCACAGCACAAAGCTGAAGTCTACACAAAGCAGGTAGTTGTTTGGTTGGTTTGTTCTTTCATCTCTTCCTACAGCAGGCCTTGGAGTCAGGATGCCTGCATTCTTCCTGCCCTGCCAAGCACTGCTTCACCTCTCTGGGCAGCAGCCTCCTCCCCTCGTAAAATGCTGAGCTTGAATTAGGTGATCCAGTCCCACGTTGTTTATCTACCCAAAGGTGATATATAAGTGTGTGGAAAAGCTGTGAGGAAACATAGAATGTCTTACTAAAATGTTGAGAGTCTGTCTTTTTTTCTTTTTCTAATTTTTAAAATTTTTTTATTTTGAGGGAAGTAATTAGATTTATTTTTATTTGATGGAGGTACTGGGGATTGAAGCCAGGACCTCATGCATACTAAGCATGCACTCTACCACTGAGCTATATCCTTCCCCGCTGAAAGCGTGCCATTACTTGTATCCTCACGTCTGCTCCAAACTATCGTTTGTAATTGGTTATATAAGTGAAGGTAAGATATTCACTTGTGGAATATGGCTGTAAGTGCTCACCTCCTCCCAATGAAGATTTTTAATCTGTAATAACTCAGCTGGAGGAGGGCAGTGCCGTGTAAGGGGTATAAGGGGAGTTAGATGGTTCACATAAATTGCAGAAGCCACGTCATCACAGTGCCCGATTGTTCTTTGTTGCATCTTCAGCTTTTCATTTGTCCCACTTCTGCCCCTTTTCCCCAGGGCTTTGGGGACCTGCCCATCTGCATGGCCAAGACACACCTGTCCTTGTCTCACAACCCAGAGCTCAAAGGCATGCCCACAGGCTTCGTCCTGCCCATTAGCGACATCCGTGCCAGTGTCGGGGCTGGTTTTCTGTACCCTCTGGTGGGAACGGTAAGTGAGTGCTGTGGGCAGAGGGCTGCTCATTCACCTCTGCTCCTCAAATCGATTACTGAAGCCATCACACAAATGCCGAATTAGCAGAGTTCGCTGCTGAGGAGACCGTTGGAATCCAGCCTGTTACGATTAATCATCTTGGGCCATCTTAGTGTCAGTTCAAGGATGACGCCATGACTGCTTGTACTGAATAATCATTTTGTTGCCCAGAGGCAGTGTGACCTTGACGGAGTCCAGGATGAGCCTAATTCATAGGCTGTGTTAATGCTTCTGTGTAATCACAGCTGACTTTTATTGGGCACATTTCACCAACTAACTCAGCCCAACTTCTTTATCCATTCATCTGTCTATGGACATTTAGGTTGCTTCCATGTCTTCGCTGTTGTAAATAGTGCCGCTATGAACATTGGGGTGCAGGTGTCCTTTTGAAATAGTTTCCTTCAGATATATACCCAGGGGTCTCCCGGGTCTCCTTGACAGGCCTGGAGCTTATGTCTAAAATTCAGGGAATTCATCATTTTTGAGTAAAGAATTTCCCCCTTCAAATGTGAATAAACCCTGTAGATGTGAAAGGTGAGGTTGTTTACTTACGCTTTAAGATGAGTTAATTATCAGATGCTTTCTTATCTTATGGGTTTTATGCTTATTAAAGAGGAAAATTGCTAACAGGGAGGTAAAGGGAAGCTGAAGGGCATAATCACAGTCTGGACTAACTTTGTCCCAGAGTCAACATTGGTCCTGTGCCCAGGTTTCCCCCATAGATCTGGCCAGTGTCCTATGTCTGCAGATTGTACTTACCTGCAGTACAGGATTGAAATAGTAAACTAAGCCAATACACAGATAAAAGAAACCAGTAGGTCTCCTTTCGGAGCTATTATTCTTCCAGTGTAAGGAAATGGTAGGAGGTGGTATCATGGAGTCAACAGTTCATAACATTAAAGCCGAATCTACTTTCACCTCCACTGGTTTTGGCCTTGGGCAAGTTACTGAAGAGGGGAGCCCTGCACCTCCCAGCTGTCTGTGGGGCAGTGTCATCCCATGACAGTGGTAGTCAGACGCGTGCCTGCAAATCAGCGCCCCTCAGCCGCTCCAGAGACAGGAGATTTTGCTCTATTATAATGCTCATCGGTCCTTGGGGTTTGTAGAAATTCCTTTTTAATAGGAATGGCAAATCATTTACCCAGCACCTGGAATATTGCAGAAATGTGTGTTCTTTCTGGAGACATTGTCTGCAGCTGGCAGCTGAAAAAGCAGTGTTGTCACTTCTGATGTCTGCATGCAGGAGGGTGACTCTAAGAGACGAAAGCAAAACTGAAAGCAGTCGGGCCTGAAGTTCAGAGAGAAACACAGCCTGCCTAGTTCAGAACTTTCTCATCTAGAATAAATTCTCACGTTAGACGCCAGCTTGAACCAAGACATTTCCACACATAATCTAGATGGCTTAACAATGACTGTTCTTCACGCCTTCTAATTCCTGTTGGGGCCTGAACAGGGCTCAGGGGATCTGAGCATTTTACATATTAATTCAAGATGTGGTGGATTCTTTTTGGAGTTTTAATGTAACTTCCTGTATATGTGTCCACATAATCATTCCATTTTTTAAAATTTTCTGGTTATTGATACGACCAGCATTTCCTACTAATCCCTATTTCTGGGATCATCTTCAGAGCTTTCTGCCAACACACACATGCGTGTCTACGTCTATGGGCACATGTCCTTTATCTTTGTAATGTCATCTCCAGGCTGTTCTGTTAGGTCTGAGGACCATTCTCTTCCTTTTTCCTACTTGTCCCCATGTTCGGCAGTTGTTTATTTCTAATAGAATTTGAGACTAGAGACCGATGTCAGTTCCCTCCTTGACTGGCACACAGATGTCAGGATCAGGTTTTCTAAAGCCTAGGTGTTTTGTGTTACAGAAGGTGACTGATCCTTTTCTACGTCATTTTTACAGTTAAGTGGTAGAAGTTCAGCTTAAACTCTTCTCCTGTCTAGATCTGATTTGGAATTTGTGTATTCATCATAAAGGACATTGTTACAGATTAAAATATACCGAGTTTTCACTTACAAGCCTTACAAACTTACATCTAAGTACATACCTGTCAAAGCCAACTCTTCAGGAAAAGAAGCAAGTGCAAATAAAATCCGTAAGCATTGCAGGTTCAGGTTCAGAAGGCCAAAGGGACCTGTAAAAATGGTGATTGTGAAACCGTCTAGATTATGTACAGAAATGTCTTAGCTTAGCCTAAGTTAATTGATACTGATTCCTAATGTGCTGCTGAAGCAAAAATAATAGCGGTATCTGCACAAGACTCATTAGAATAAAATGAAACGGCAGACAAGCCATGCATCTCCTTTTTATTTTGTGACGTGAGAACTGAGGAGGTAAACAACTGACCCCTCAGCCTCTGCGGCACCTGCCATTGTGGGATGAAGGTGGATGCATCTCCTCTACCTCTTGTTGCAACTGTTGGTATGGGGGGACTTTGGTGAAGTCTGGCATTTGGTTTGCAGGAGGACCCGAGGGATTCCTGCTGAGATCGTAGCAGGATCAGTGACTTGATTTTTAATGTGTAACATGAAGAGTGCCACTTTATGGACAAGTGTAAAATAATATTTTATCTTTGTGCCTTGGGCTTTCTATCTGAAGGGAAGGTGAAAATAGATCACATTCAGTTTGTTTTTAACGGTATTTCACACCTAGATGAGCACCATGCCTGGACTCCCTACCCGGCCCTGTTTCTATGATATTGATTTGGACCCTGAAACTGAGCAAGTGAATGGGCTGTTCTAAATGGGTAAGTTGTTACTGGTGAAAGTTTTGCTTTTTTCCTTATGAGGCATATTTGTGAATTATAGGACTCCAAAGCTATGAAAATGCAAATTCTAATGCTTTCAAAAGATTTCTTTCCAGACATCACTGCAGGGTGGGGGGACTATAATAAGAGCTGGCAGTAACCAGTGAATGAAACATTTATATTTCAATACATTTTTGGAAGAGGAACACAGCTCGTCACAGGTTGGCAGTGTAGGAGAGATAGCTGCCATCTGATGAACTACGGAGGGGCTGCAGTGGAGGTTAGACCTCTTCTGGGGACCCGAGGAAGCCCTGGGCTTTGAGCTGATAGCACATTGGAGGGCAGGAGCAGCTGAAGCTCTGTATACCCTGAATAGACGGTTAGCAGGAGAGAGTGAGTGAATGTCCCAGAACGTAGAAAAGAGAAAGGAAGCAGGATCGGTCCAGGAATTCGTGGGGCCTTAAGTGAAGGGCCCCCACGCACTCATCACGATGAGCCACCCCTGGATACACTCAGGTGAAATTTCAGAAACATCAAAGATGAAAATCCTAAAAATCCTTCTCCAGAGAAGAAAAAATGGCTAACCTATGGGGAAAAAAAAAAAGTACTAGACTGAACCGCTGTCCTCTTATCAGCAGTAAGAGGCTTTTAGACGATGGAGAAACGCCCTCCAGGTCTACAGGGAAAGGTGACCTTTCGCTTGTACGTACACCCCACCGAGTCTATCCAGAAGTTTTCACATATGTACAGGGTTGCCACCCCCACATCTCTTCCTGGGAAGGGAGCTAGCAATGTACTCCAGCAAAGTGAGGACTAAACCAAGAAGAAGGAAGACATGGTTTTCAGGACACCAAATCCTGATCTGGACAGTACTGAAGGGGAGTCCTGACAACTGCAGGTGACCCAGAGTTATAAATCCATCAGGAGAAGGGAGGAATTGAAAAAGCCTAGAGAGGGCGACGAAGTCAAGGGTAATGATGCAAAACAAAAGCTCTCACAAGGTTTAATAAAGTAAGGGTCCAGGTGGAGGCAAACTGCAGTCATCAATTAGGCAACTGTAAGGACGGTTGCTCCCAGAAGCAACTCTGCTTCCAAAGAAGAGAGACCTCGTGCTGATGCTGGGGGAACGCTGTTCTGCAGGAGGGTGTCTGTGACGTTGGAGATGTCATCCTGGCTCATGCTTGGACTGGCCTTGAACAGTAGTCACATGGCCACGACGTAAATGCTGTTCCTTGTTTTCAAGTCTGTGGACAGACCCTGGGAGAGTCAGCTGTGGGGAAGGATATGAACGTTGACAGCTCTGGCGGTGCGAGAGGGTGATGGTGAGGTGAGGGAGGGTAGAGGAAATACTTCAGCGCTTTCTTGTTTCTTTTCCTTCCAGATTGTCCATCTTCAAGAAGCTGCTTTGAAAATGTGGCCAGTGTTTATTCAGGCCTCCTGTCAGGAAGTGGGGGGAAGTCGAGAGAAGTCAGTCCCTGCCCCGAAGTCCCTGAAGCAGTGGGAGTTTCCCCCAGAAGCCTTTCTTCAGCCTTAATTCCCATCCTCATGTATCAGTTAGCATAAATCATGCTCATGTCTAATTACTTTACTGAACTCATAGAATAAAAGTAAATAATTTTGCAGTTAATCTCAGTGTTCAAATATAAATGGCAGCATTAACAGACTGTGCGGCCAGATCTCGGCTGTCCCACGGGACCCCGTTTGCCGGGCAGGCCCTGGGACTGAAGAAGCAAGCTGCAGTGTGTACTTTATGATGCTGTTGTGTTTAGAGGGGAAACAGCACACACTTGTGTAATAAAGAGACCTCCTGAGACGGTTGAGGGAGAAGCAGAGTATGGAGGATGTGCCTTTTTATCATGCACTTTTCTATATTGTTCCATTTTTTTTTTTTACCCTGAGAAAGTATCGCTTATACAGGTTTTTGTTCTGAACTTCCTTAGAATTCTCATTTCTGTCACAGCCTTAGCACCATTCTTTTTCTTTTTTTTTTTTTTTTTTTGGATATTTTGCCATTTGTGGTCCTTCATTCACTTTCTTCCTTGTTGGTTCAGCAAGTATTTACTGAGCTTCTACCATATGCCTGAGCTCTAGCCCTCCCTACAGAATGTTTTATTTCCCTCAAATGTTTTCCCTTCTCTTCTTGTTATTTATCTTCTATCTCTGTTCTTATCCCACTTTTCCTCCCTTTTCCCCTTTTTCTTCTTGCAGTGGATCCTTCCAGATGTTGCATCCCCCAGTGCCCATGCTAAACACTGCTGGCATTGGCAGAGTGGTATTTTTCCTGGTGCCCTTGGTTTTATTATTTTTAATCCCCCAGGTAAACACCAGTGTTGTAATATGGTCAGTTTTGCAGTCTAAGGAGTGATGGCAGTGCTTTTGAGGGCATGGGGCAAAGGGTTCCTGAGCGCACAGCCCAGCTGCATTACGCTTTGAACACCACCTGGCACATTCTACACACTGTACACACTCAGTGATGTTCCTGTTACAAAGCATTGTTTGGACCCTGCAGAGTTCACTGTTTCTGGTGTGTTTTAAAATGTCCTGTAAAACATCTGGAATGGGACTTGCTGGGAATTCAGTTTGTAAACAGGAAGAAAGCAGTCTATTGTCAGACGTGGTGACTTAAAGATCATCTAAAGAATTTAGGCTTCCTTATATCACCAAAAGCCATGTGGGTTTAAATCTTTCATGTTGACAGAAATAGTGAACTGAATTGGTGGGAGAGATGTGTGGAGGTTTAATAAGGCAAAGATTATAAACAAAGCCCTAATACAATAAATAAGTCAAATTGTTTTTACCAGGTATTGCTTGGAGTGAAGGGACCATCACTAATGCAAGAATTTCCCTAAGTAGAAGTAAAACATGCCTTCAGTAAAAATCCAAATGGTACAATTTGCCTTTTCCACTTGGCAGTATACCTTGGCGTTCTTACTCCATCAGCAGTTTGGGATACATCTTGTTTCTTATGGCTATGAAGTGTTTAAATAGTCCTTTTGATAGACACTTGTTTCGTGGTTTTTACTGTTACAAATAATGTCCTAGTGAATATTCTCATATCATATGTATCTTTGCAACTTGTGTAGAAGCATCTTTAGGATAAATTCCTGAAAAATTTGTGCAGAGTGACCTCTAGCTTCAGAATGGGAGCTGACCTTTGGTTGGAGATATGTAGAGATAAATGATAATAGAACACATAGGCAAATTATGTGTCTCCGTTGTACAGAAAAGCACTTCACAATTACACTGCTACTCTCTGCCAAGTGCACTTGTTAAGGTCATCTGACTCCAAAGCCTGCACTCTTTAACATCATTGTGCCTTCAGAGCCCTTTGTAGCAGGCAGCCCCTGCCAAGTTGTACAGAAACAGACATCCTATTTGTGACAGGCAGAAAGGGTTGATAAAATTGTGGAAGAAGCAGAGAGAAGAAATAAAGAGGTTAGGAAGGCGGGTGAACAGTTATTGATGATACGGGTTTTGTGGAATTGAGTCTTCAATCTGTGATTTAAAAAAAAAAAAGAGATGTGATGAAAGAGAAAGCATAAAGAACAAGAAATACCTGCAGGCTGACTGAAGACCTGAATTCAAGACCTATGGGAGCATGAATGCTGGGGATACATAGTGTGTGTAGCCAGAGGTGGACTGGGGCCTTTAACTTGGGGCTAGGAGTCCTTCAAGGTCACTGCCTCCCTGTCCCTACTCTGACCCTTATCTGGGCTGCTAATGGCTTCCCTCCCCATATTCATAATATTACTATCACACAGACTGCACCTTCTCTTCGGAGGCTGTTGCTGTGCATTGAAAATGTATACATACTCTCAATTCAAAGAAAGGGCAGCATATGGGTGCTGTCAAGTGAAGCAGATTACAACAGAATTACAGTTGAGTTTGTGTTGGCTGCTGCAACCCTGATCGTGCCCAGGAACAGATCAAAGCAGCAGAAAATGAGCCACAGGTTCATTTAATGGCGAACCAGGAATGGGGGAGTGGAGGGCTTATTCCCAGCAGGTCTCTAATATGTAAGAATGATTATCACAGAGTTATAAAACATTTTTTGGTAGATACCAGCCCAGGCTATGGGTGGATAGGGACCAGGATGGGATAAATGTTACCAAGCAGTAGAGGTCAGATAAATAAGCTATTTTATTGGCACATTGTATCTGGTGATGTTAACAAGATAAGCTGTAGGTAGGATAATTTCTCATCAGATGGGAGATATATTTAGAGCCTGTTTCTCATATAATGAAAAGCTACTAATGAAGTTGCAGACACTGATATGGGTAATAGCTTACTAACTGTCACTTAAGTGAGTTCAGGGATGACAGGTTTCTTTCACGTATGAGATACTGGATACATTTTTAAAATTCAGATATGGTGTCGGGTTCTAGTTATATCCTAAAGAAAAACCATAGTGCAGTATTTTATTTATAGTTCTCCACTCTCTGTGTGTTGGAGGTTGGGGATGAGTTATATGTAATGTACCTTAAAGAAATCTGCCCTTCAAATACAAAATCAATTCACCTCCTACCTCGAGCCACCCTTCAGTTCCCTTTCATTAGTCTTTTTTTTTCAAGTAAGTGGAATAAGATCTGTAAGTCATTAAGATGGCCTTTATTGTTTTAACCTGTCCCTTATTTCATTTCCAATTATTCCTAATAAGATAGCTGTTCTACCTCGTCTTCATCTAGATAAGCTCATCTTATTTTTGCCTGAAATTGTTGCAAACTCTGAGGCCTGCTAGGTTTGAGAAAACTTGGATCTCAATAAATAATAGTATCTCAGTTGGTTATGAGTGGCATGGATTTCTTTTGGTTTGTTTAAAGTTCAAAACTGGCAGTAAGCAGGGTTAGTACCCCATCTGGGGATATAAAGGACATCTTTACAGACTAGGGTTTGCTGAATGAACAAAGATATAACTGAATTCTTAATTACAACTACTATAAATTAGATGCTTTTGGATATTCCTGTTTTGCAGCTCTTGTCTCTAAGATGTTGACAGCTTAGACTCAGCTTTGCTATTGTGTCTCAATAGTTCTTTCCTTAATAAGTCTCAGTGGAATCTATAGAATATATTCTATATGGTAAAATATATTCCTGGAAAAACACTGAAAAATGGGTAACTGAAGTTTACTCTCTCAAAGATCATGATCCTATTGAAGAAAAGAGGTAAGTACAACTGCTTTTCAGTAGTTCTTCCCTCCACTTTAATAGCTTCTTCATCCGGGTTGTGTGCCTGGAAGGGGCCAGAGGAGGAGGCAGGAACTCATCCTGCAGGACCTCACTGCTGGAGCTCCTGGGAATGCCCTTTTGTAGGTAATATTAAACCCAAAGCAAATCACCCTAAACTCTCAATGCAACAACTTTTATTGGTGTTAATGCATTGTACGCAATGGATTATGTGTACAAATAAATGCTTATGGTGCTTTTCACTATGTTTAGATAAAGAACTTGTTCAGATAAAGATTCAAAATGTATGAAAATATACAGCCTAGCCAGTCAGGCAGGAGGGAAGATATTGTCTTGTGCCCTTTGCTCTGATCAAGACTGGAATTGTGAGGAAAGGCTTCTGTTCTCCATCCCTCAACCCTACTTAACTGAGAGGGACAAGGTTAAGCAGGCACCTAGGAATATCGGAAAGGGAAGCACGGATAACTTGTAAGCTCCTTATTCTTGGAAATACATAAGGTATAAAGAATGGAAGGGGCTGGGCTCCTCTGTTCTTCTGACCTTAATGGCACACAGGCTGCATCATCTCTACCTGCCTGCTAGATACTTAGGGACACAGAGGTCTATATCTTGGGCCTCTGAGAGCCTTTGGCAACAAATCTTGATAACCTCATTACACCCAAACCCACTCTTAGGGAAAAAAAATTTTTTTTCCCAATTCATATATGAAATTTTCTCTCCAAACGAGATGCACTCTGCATAGTTTTGAAGCCTACCTTTAAAGTGTGATATCTGTTGTGACTTTAAATATTCAATGAGGGGATTTAAAATGGGAGTACCTATAATTTAAAACAGGATTTTGCTGCTTTGCGTCTGAGAAAATGGGAGGCTTGCGACCCTGGCCCCCTCCCCATCTGCCGGCTTTCTCTGTGTCTCTGTCTCTCTCCGTGGCCCTCGGCCCTTGCCAGGATGTGGTCGCACGGCTGGGAGCGCGAAGGTCTGCTCCCCCGCGGCTGGGCGAACTGCTTCGCAGGTGGCCC